GCCTGCCAAGACAGTGGGTTCGCCCTCTCAAGCTGTAGTGGACCCGGATAACTACCTACCCAGGCGTCACCACGCAGCGACACCGCTGACAGCCAGCCACTCCCAGACACATACCAGTCCCTGCAGTGACACCCACGCCACCCTCAGACGCACATGCACGAGCACCGCCGCAGCCCGCCCCCCATTCCCACCAGCCCCACGTGCCTGGCTCACCCACGCCCGGTATTAACCTCCAGGAATCGGACCCTCAACACCGAAGCTCAAGCCTGAGTCGCCATTACCATGGCCCTCCGCGCCTGACAGCTCCATCCCCTCATTCTTGGAATAGGCCCCTGTTCAGCCTGCCTGGGTTATCACCTGGCCCTGCCTTGCCTGCTGTGTGACCTTGGACAAGTTAGCAACATTTCTGTGCCTCAGACCCCACATCTGGGCGGCGCCAACCCCAGGATGCCCAGGGCCTGAGTCATAGGGGTAATAACAGCCTTAACAAAAGCTCCCTGTCATAGGTTGTTGGCAGAACTGTGGAGAACTCGGCCCAGTGCCTGGAGCATGGTGTTAAAAATAATTAAAACTCAAGGAAAATGAAACATAAGGTTTATTGTGAGCAGTTGTTCTACTGCCGTTGAGTTGATTCTGACTCGCAGCGACCCTATAGGACAGAGTAGAATTGCCCCATAGGGTTTCCCAGTCTGTAATCTTTACAACAACTATCTTTAGGCGAGCAGATTGCCACATCTTTCTCCCCAGGAGTGACTGGTGGGTTCCAACCACAGAACTTTCAGTTAGCAGCCTAACGCTTAACCATTGTGCCGTGCCCACCAGGACTTCCTCTGTAAGCATATTTGTTGTTGTTGTTAGGTGCCATCGAGTTGGTTCCGACTCATAGCGACCCGATGTACAACAGAATGAAACACTGCCCAGTCCTGCGCCACCCTCACGATCTTTGCTATACTTGAGCCCATTGTCGCAGCCACTGTGTCAATCCATCTCGTTGAGGGTCTTCCTCTTTTTCACTGACCCTCCACTTTACCTTCTCCAGGGACTGGTTCCTCCTGATAACATGTCCAAAGTATGTGAGATGAAGTCTCTCCATCCTTGCTTCTAAGGAGCATGCTGGCTGTACTTCTTCCAAGACAGACTTGTTCTTTCTTCTGGCAGTCCATGCTATATTCGATATTCTTCACCAACACTATAATTAAAAGGCATCAATTCTTCTTCGGTCTTCCTTACTCATGGTCCAGCTTTCGCATGCATATGAAGTAGTTGAAAATACCATGGCTTGGGTGGGGCACACCTTAGTCCTCAAAGTGACCTCTTTGCTTTTTAACACTTTAAAGCAATCTTTTGCAGTAGATTTGCCCAATGCAATACATTGTTTGATTTCTTGACTGCTGCTTCCATGGGTGTTGATCGTGGAGCCAAGTAAAACGAAATCCTTGACAACTTCAATCTTTTCTCCATCTATCCTGATGTTGCTTATTGGTCCACTTGTGAGGATTTCTGTTTTCTTTATGTTGAGGTGTAATCCACATTGAAGGCTGTGGTCTTGATCTCCATCAGTAAGTGCTTCAGGTCCTCTTCACTTTCAGCCAGCAAGGTTGTGTCATCTGCAAAACACAGGTTGTTAATGAGTCTCCCTCCAATCCTGATGCCCCGTTCTTCTTCATATAGTTCAGCTTCTCGGATTAATTGCTCAGCATACAGATTGAATAAGTATGGTGAAAGGATATAACCCCGATGCACACCTTTCCTGACTTTAAACCACGTAGTATCCCCTTGCTCTATTCGAACGACTGCATCTTGATCTATGTACAGGTTCTTCATGAGCACAATTCTGGAATTCCCATTCTTCAAAATGTTATCCATAATTTGTTATGATCTACACAGTCAACTGCCTTTACGTAGTCAATAAAACACAGGTAAACATCTTTCCGGTATTACCTGCTTTCAGCCAAATCTATCTGACGTAAGCAATAATATCCCTAGTTCCACATCCTCTTCGGAATCTGGCTTGAATTTCTGGCAGTTCCCTGTAGATGTAATGCTGCAACCGCTTTTGAAATATCTTCGGCAAAATTTTACTTGCGTGTAATATTAATGATACTATTTGATAATTTCTGCGTTCTGTTGGATCACCTTTCTCTGGAATGGGCACAAATATGGACCTCTCCCACTCCAAGGCGATTGGCCAGGTAGCTGTCTTCCAATTTCTTGACATGGACGAATAAGCTCTTCCAGTGTTTCATCCGTTTGTTGAAACATCTTAATCGGCATTCCACCAATTCCGGGAGCCTTGGTTTTCGCCATTCCCTTCAGTGCAGCTTGGACTTCTTCCTTCAGTACCAATGATTGCTGATCATATGCTGTCTCCTGAAATAATTGAACGTCGACCAATTCTTTTTATTACAGTGACTGTGTATTCCTTCCATCTTCTTTTGATGCTTCCTGCATCGTTCAATATTTTGCCCACAGAGTCCTTCAATATTTCAACTCGAGGCTTAAATTTTTTCTTCAGTTCTTTCAGCTTGAGAAATGCTGAGTGTGTTCTTACCTTTTGGTTTTCTAACTCCAGGTCTTTGCACCTGTCATTATAATATATTCATCTTCTCTAGTCACCCTTTGAAATCTTTTGTTCAGTTCTTTTACTTCATCATGTCTTCCATTTGCTTTAGCTACTCCATGTTCAACAGCACGTTTCAGAGTCTCTTCTGACATCCATTTTGGTCTTTTCTTTCCTGTCTATTGAATGACTTTTTGCTTTCTTCATGTATGACATTCTTGATGACATCCCACAACTCATCTGGTCTTTTGTCATTGATGTTCAGTGCATCAAATCTATTTTTGAGATGGTCTCTAAATTCAAGTGAGATATACTTAAGGCTCTTGTGGGCTTGTTTCAATTTTCTTTGTCTCGACTTGAACTTGCATGTGAGCAATTGATGGTCTGTTCCGCAGTCGGCCCCTGGCCTTGCTCTGACTGATGATATTGAGCTTTTCCATCGTCTCTTTCCACAGATGTAGTCAGTTTGATTCCTGTGTATTCCATCTGGCAAGGTCCATGTGTATAGTCACCGTCTATGTTGTTGAACAAAGATTGTGGGGATATATGCCATTTAAACATGGCTGCACTATTGACAACTGCAGCCCCCACAGGCCTCTATGCTGTATACGACATGTTGGAGACTTGTCAGCGATAAGAAAGAGATTAGGCACGACTTGTTTTCCCAAACCTATTGTCCTGTTGCTGATTGGCTTATTTACCTGAATTCCTCCTCCCTTGCCGGAAACTTATTGTTATTCACCCAAAGCCCATTGTTCTGTTATTTGCTTCACTGCTTGCTGTATTGACTATAAATAAACTCCTGGGACTGAAGCCGGGTTGGACTCCTCAGAGTGACCCTCCTGGCCCCACTTCTCTGTAAGAGTTGTGGCATTGGTTATTGTCTCTGCCGCCCCGACATTCGCCACCGCTGCAACAGATGGTGCCCCGTGTGAGGAGCTGCGACAAAAGATATTTGCCATAAGTCATTGGTCTTGCAAAATGCTATCATGCAATCTCAGGTGTCATTTCTATCACCAAGGCCACATTTTCCAACAACCATTCCTTCTTTGTTTCCAACTTTCACATTCCAATCGCCAATAATTATCAATGCA